ACTCTACATTGAAGATCCAAAAAACTCCACCAAAAAACTTCTAGACTTAATTGACAGATTCAGTAAAGTATCTGGATACAAGGTGAATACCCAAAAATCAATAGCCTTTCTATACACAAATAACAGACAGACAGAAAGAGAAATAAGGGAAAAAATTCCTTTTACAATAGCATCCAAAAAAATGAAGTATCTAGGAATCAATCTAACAAAAGAAACAAAAGATCTCTACACTGAAAACTACAGCACTCTGAAAAAAGAAATCGAAGAGGATATAAAAAAATGGAAAGATATCCCCTGCTCCTGGGTAGGAAGAATCAACATAGTGAAAATGGCCATACTACCGAAACTGCTATATACATTCAATGCAATGCCAATTGAAATTCCAACACTATATTTCACAGAACTAGAAAAAAGAATCCAAAAATTCATTTGGAACCACAAGAGACCTAGAATAGCAAAAGCCATTATAGGCAACAGTCACATGGCACCAGGTGTAACAATTCCCAATTTGAAACTATACTACAAAGCCACTGTGATAAAATCAGCATGGTACTGGCAAAGAAATAGGCCTGAGGATCAATGGAACAGACTGGAAGACACAAAAACAAATGCAGATGTACTCAGCTACCTCATCTTCGACAAAGGAGCTCACCATCCTCAGTGGAGGAAAGATAGCCTCTTTAATAAATGGTGTTGGAAAAACTGGATATCAACCTGTCACAGATTAAAATTAGACCCTTATCTTTCGCCATGCACTAAATTAAAATCCAAATGGATTAAAGATCTAAATATTAAAACAGAAACATTAAACTTGCTGGAAAGTAAGTTAGGCAGAACTCTGGAAGACATTGGTATAGGAAAAGACTTTATGAACAAATCCTCAGTAGCACGGGAACTAGCAGAAAGAATCAACAACTGGGATCTCATCTTACTAAAAAGCTTCTGTACTTCAAAAGAAACCATTAGCAGAACTAAGAGACAATCTACAATGTGGGAAAAAATTTTTACCAGCTGTACCTCAGACAAAGGACTATTATCAAGGATATATAAAGAACTCAAAACAATCAGTCCCCCCAAATATAAAGACCCGATCCAAAAATGGGCATCCGAAATGAACAGACATTTCTCATACAAAGAAGTGAAAGCAGCAAGAAAATATATGAAAAAATGTTCCACATCACTGGTCATTCGAGAGATGCAGATGAAAACAACACTGAGATTCCACCTCACCCCACAAAGAATGGCTGCTATCAAGAAATCACACAATAACAAATGTTGGCGGGGTTGTGGGGAGAAAGGAACCCTCCTCCATTGTTGGTGGGAGTGCAGACTAGTGCAACCACTATGGAAATCAATATGGAGATACCTCAAAGAGCTTGGACTGGAGGTTCCATTTGACCCAGCCATCCCTCTGTTGGGTATCTTTCCAAGAGAACTAAAAGAATCATATCACAGAGAAGTATGTGCACCCATGTTTATAGCGGCACAGTTTGTAATAGCTAAATCTTGGAAACAACCTATTTGCCCATCCGTTGGAAACTGGATAAAGAAGATGTGGTTTTTCTATAAAATGGAATATTACTCAGCCATAAAGAGCGAGAGAATAGATTCATTCATAGGAAAATGGATACATATTGAAGATATACTCCTAAGTGAAATAAATAAGTCCCACATGTGTAAATACCAAATAGTTTCCCTGGTGTGAATATTCTGCAACAATGCATAAGATTCTAATAAGATTACTGACATTTAGAAATGGGAGGAAAGGAGCTAAAGGTGTAGGGAAGGTGTGATACGTAGGGGAAGAACAAAAAGGGAAAAGAAAAAAATGTGAGAGAATGAAAAGATGAAAATAAAGTGTTTGTAGATGGGGAGGGGAGGAGGGGGTGAAGGGAGGGCAGAGGTAAGGGGAAAAAACGAGAATCAAGACTTGTCATGTAGAGGTACAAGATCCCAACAATGAATGTAACTGCACTGTATCCCTAAAATGTACCAATAAACTCAATTAAAGCTGAAAAAAGAAAAAAAAAAGAAAACAGTCCAATAGTAACTCAATATTTTAAACATACACCTGACAATTTCACTCCATGTATAGAGTCAAGAGAAATGACAATAGGTGTCTAAACAAAACAGGATTATTCATACTAATCAAAAGGTGGAAATAACCCAAATGCCCATCAACTGATGCTTAGATGTATACAATGTAATATGTCCAGTCAACAGAACCTGATTCAGCCATAAAAAGAATGAAGAGCTAATAATAGAAGATACAACAAGGATGAATCTTGAAAATATTATGCTAAATGTAAAGAGGCAAACACAAAGATCTATACATAGTGTATTATTCCACTGACATGAAAAGTTCAGAATGGGTACATCCATAGAGACAGAAAGCAGGCTGCTAATTGCCTAGAACTACAGGAACGAGGGGATAGCACTGTTAAAAGGCACAGGGTGTTTTACTGATAAAACTGTTCTTAAATTGATTGCGATGGTGGTTAGACAACCTTAAGAATATTACAAAACCACTGCAATGTATACTCTAAAAGAATGAACTTTATAGTGTTTTACTTATATCTCCAAGAAAGCTGCAATCAAAAGAATTAAATGTGCATGAAAATCTAAAATAAAAATCCCTCCAATGACTGCACTACAATATACAATAGGTGGCTACCCACTCCTCCCCTGGAAGAATACATGTTTATCTAGAAAGACTGAAACTGGCTGCTGGATCCTTACACACCAGACAGCCATCTGGGGGATGTAACCAAAGAGAACAGACCTAAAGATACAGGTATTGACAAATACCCTAAAGAAACAAACATCTTGAAACAGACTAGGCAAGAATGAGAATCATGGTCAACAAACACACAAATGTACAGGAAGCTTCCATTGAACCTTTTTGTGCTTACTCCCAATGTAAGTGAACAGGTAGTTACCATCAGACATTTAAGGAAAGTATCTAAGATGAATGACAGGTACCAAGTGAAGGAAAAGAAAAAAAATTTGAATACAGCAGGGGCTATTCTGAAAGAAGATAACTATTTGTAAAGGGAAAAATCTATTACCTTCATATAGATAAATTAAAATATTGAATTTACGAAATAAAAATAAGGTTCTATTAAAAGGAGCTAGGAAACTTGGGAGGCAGAGGCAGGAGGATCTCTGTGAGTTCGAGACCAGCCTGGGCTACATAGTGAGTTCCAGGTCAGTCTCAACTACATAGTGAGACCTTGTCTCAAAAAAAACAAAAAAAAAATGGAGCTAGGAAAGAACAAAAAAAATGTTCTTTTCAAAATTGAAAACATAATGACAAAAATAAAGGCCTCAATAAAAGAGAATAAATCCCAGAAAGTTGAATAAGAAGACATAGAACTACAAAACAAAGAGAAAAGAAATAGAGAACCAGTCCAGGACATCCAACATCTATACAACTGAAATTCCAGAAAGAGAGAATGGGGCAAATTGGGTAGAGGAAATTAAACAAAATAGTAAGAGAAAATTTGGCCTGGATATTCCAAATTCAAAGGGATCACCACAACACTAGCATAATAATGCATATAACACCAATATCTAAATCTTAAGGATAAATTAAGTCCCCATAACCTTTCAGAGGACAAAATTATGTCTCCCACAATGGACCAAAAATTAAACTAGCATCAGATTTCTGAAAAGCAACACTGGAATTTAGAAAAGAATGGAACAAACCTTTCAATTTCTAAAGACAGTTATTTCTTGCCTAGAATTCTATACCCACCCATGCAGAATAAAGACATCAGAAGAAAGACACTGTCGAAAACTTGCCTGCTAAAATAATTTCTTAATAAACAACTGGAGGATTTGTCCTACCAAACAAGAGAATATCCATTTACCTAAACATACTTTTAAGTGAAATAAATAGAACAAATATATTTAAATGTTGTATTATTTCTCTTGTGAAAGTCAACGTGTAAATAAGGACCAAAATGGATGACAGATATTAGGAAGTGGAAAGAAAATGTTCAAATGGGAAGGGGAATAAGGGAGAGGAGAGGGGGAAGGGAAGGAAGAGAAAAGGAGAAACAGAAAATGGAAGGAAAACTGGTAACAAAACTTCCGTAAATAAGGAGGGTAAGAAGGGTTGAGGGGAGGGGAGTGGAATTGGAAAAAGAAGAATCAAGATATCTTATGTACAGGTACAAATTCTCTACAATGAATGATATCATTATGTTTTGCAAAGTGTACCCAGAAAATCAACTTTAAAAAAAACCAAGAGAGTGAAGCAAGAACGATCAAACACTTGACACCTAGGAAGCTGGAGAGCCTATTCGAGTATCTGCAAAGTCATACCAAGATCCTGAGATGAAACTGCAGCAGGCCTAGTGAGCCTAGACAAGCAGCTCACAAAACTCCAGAAGAGAGCTCTCAAAGAATATGAAATTTGGAGAAAATCAAAGTGTATAAGTACACTGAGAATAAATTATTGAAACTGAGAAAAGGTGGGGTAGGAGTTAGGATAAGTAACTAGAAAATTAAGTGAATGAACAGATAATTGCAAGAAAAACAAAAGGGAAGAAAACTATATATCACATGATGCACTGGAGCAAAGAAATTATACAGTATTAATAATTAGAAATGATGTCAATAAAGCCAAAATCCCAATATAGCTATTGGATTTTTGGAGGAAAAAAATTATATGTGTATATATGGTCAAGGGACATTGGGCAGGGAAAGAGGGGCTAAATCTTCATCTTTCATGAAGGAAGGGGTAAGACAGCATGTTATGTGGCGATACAGAGGTAAATACTGAAAGAAGTAGCTAAAAGCACTGAAAGTACTTGTATCTGGGGAACAGAAAAGGTTTGTGTGTGTGTATACGTGCATGTGTTGAAGTAAAACTGCTCTTTCATTTATATGCATATATAATTTATGCAAAGTAGAAAATTAATTTACAAATACAGTAAGATAGATCCTAATATCTTCCAGACAGAATATATACAATACTTGAATAATTACTATACCTTGAAAAAGGCACATTCTGAATACTTCTTCCAAACTGCCTCTGAACTGGGCTTATTCTGACAATATTTTGCATATATCTGAAAATCATCTTTCTGTAATAAAGAGCAAATTCAAATATATTACCAATTTGTGGGCATAAATTTTGTTAGCAAGAAAGGCTGAACAAGAGCAAGTATGGCCAAGCATTATGAGGAAAGTGACCCAAAGAAAGCCTCTTGGCATTCCAAGAACAGCTGGCCCCTTGGACCAGATGACAAAGATGCATAATTACCCAAGTAACTTCAGTACTTGTAGTTCTGAACTATGATAATTGCTTTTTTTTCATAACCATAAGCTAATAGGGCACCAAGAAACATGCTCTATAATCACTTAGTTCCCCATTGAATGAACTTGTAGCTAACTTCCAAGTTAGAGCCTGCAGTCCTTGGCTCATCACTGGGGCATGGCCCTTGCTGCATAATCCACCTGGGCACCTGCCTATGTAATTTTTGCTCCCTGGAATTTTCTCTCCCTAACCCTCATCTACCGGGCTCTTATTCATTCTTTTAACATTCAACTTGAGTTATCTCTTTATAAAGCCATTGTTGATACCTCTAGTCTATGTGAGATATTCCTCTTTCGGACTCCCATAAGTTCCTCTGTATATCTCTAACACAGTACAACTCATCCCATTTTTCCACGTAAACACTCTTTGGCTTGGTATTCACATTGCCTAGGACAGTGCTTGGTACATAGTAGGTGCTCATTAAATGAATTCTATTAAATGAGTGAACATAGCATCAATAAATATTTATTAAACCACTACTTGGTGCCAAGGGCCGTGCTAGCCTTATGAGACACACAGCAGAATATAAGATATGCACAGTCTTTATGTAGTACAATCTGAGGAAAAAATACACTGCTTTTGCTGGAGGAAGCTGGGCAAAAATTTGTGCACAGTTCATATGTATTTAAAGTTAGAACATGTTGAGAAAGATCATGACATAGGCCTTTCTTAGCCTTCTCATTTCATAAACACCTTCTGAGATATCTATTTTGAACTTTTCAATAATTGCTTCTTTCACATTCACTCTCAAATCAAGACCAAATTTACCTTTCAGGAAAAGAAGGAAGTAGATAAGAAGAACAGGGTAAGAAAAAATAATTCTGAAAGAAAACTCTACTGGAGTGAGCACAGTCACTCGGATATCTACTATACTAAGCACATTCTTGGGATGAGGAATAACGAAATTCCCTGAAAGATTTTGTTGAATAAAAGGAACAGTAAGGTCTGTGACAGACACCTCGGTGACTGCAAGCCAAACCAGATTCGGTTCTAACACTTCACATGGATTAGAGGGAAATACCGAGGCATCCTTTAGGCTAAAAATTAAACAAGCCCAAGAGTAGTTTTGCTTAAATGATTCCAATTGTGATTTCTTCATAGGCAGGATGGTCCCTGGATTCCCACAATGACCATTCCTGGGAGCTGAGGCACTGAAGCTTTTGATACCACAGAACACAGAGCGTGCTGCAGGACTCCAATGCAATAGTTTCTGCAATAAAACTTGTTTGGCATTATTTTCTCCAAAAAACATGAAGACATTTAAAAAAACAAAACTACTGTCACCAAATCTGTTCTTATAATGAGTTACTATTCTGGTGGTCCATCTTTATACAACTAAAAAACATCATTAGACTCACTCTTTCCAGGAAACACAGTCCCACTCTTTCTGGGGCATCAGAGCAATTTTCCAGGCTGCTCATGAAAATGCTGCAAAATTTTCAGAGAAAAAAATATGTATATGCAATATAATAAACTAGTTATAGCTCTTAAATTTTTAACGAAAAATATCCAATTGGGCAACTACATACTTGTTATGGAAGTCATATATTTCTGCCATGTTTCCAAAGAGAACATCCTTTTTTTTTCTCAGGAGAGGTGGCATAAGATCGAACATCTTTGGATTATCCATTTCTGCTCTGTAGCCCTATTCAAAATAAATACATGTATCCATTTGAAAAATATTCTCATTAACATTTGCTTGGGCTACCAAAGATATGGGTACAGCAGACAATACAAGGAAGTTGTGGGTAAAGATGTCTGAATTGTACATTCAACTCTCCTAGTCCCTAAATTTAACCATGACTTTTTTTAGAAGGCAGAAAAGGGAAGTCAAGGTTTTCCACTCAATGAGTAAACTAAAATGACAGCTCCTTGACCTTCAAGGTAGCTTGTGATGTTTGAAACAAAACAGAAACCAAATATGAACAATTACAATACAGGTCATCAAACTCTCTTTAAATTGACAATAAGTGTTCTGGATTTCTCAGACCAAATCAACATGATGGCATCTGTGTTAAATGAGTCTTATCCTAGTCTCAGTTCTCTACATCACAATCTCTAAGTAGCACCCTGGGAATAATTAGAACAATCTGCTGTATCCCTAAGAGAACAGCTTCTCTCCTCTGCAATAAATTCTGAAACAACCATTCCCACTACTGAGACAGAACACAAATATGCATGTTTAAATAGCATGCAACCTCAAACAACAGGAGAAATGCCTACTGCTGGAGTGTGACAAGGAAGGGAACAAATATAAAACTGCCTCAACCACTTTCTAATGAATGTAGCAAGGAAAATGGTAAAAGCACAATTTGAGTCACTTACCAACAAAGCAGTATACAGCTCTTGAACGTATACTCTTTCAGTCTGGATCAGCTCATTGAGAACATGCCTAAGATGAAAAAATCATATTTACTGGTTACTCTATCACTTGAAAACTGTATCGCAATGTTTTGTTAGGATTATGAATTGTTTAAGGTAAAAGTAGTTAATGCATATTAACACATGGAAACTACTAACGGTTTTTGTTTTAGCATCAAAATATGAAACTAATTTTATTGGCTGTTAGAATAACTACTACCCACAAGACTAAAATATATTTGAAAGAAAGGGGGATGCTGAAGGGCCATTATTAAGTTAAAAATATTTCCAGATCACTAAGATTAAGAATCAATTTGCTAAAAACTCACAAAACCTATTCCTAAATGTCTGAGGTTTTGGTAATTTTTCGGAGTATATCTAAAACATGAATTAGATTTACTATCCTGGTCTTTCCAAATGTAGAACATACTTAAGTTTCTGTAAAAACTTTTTCTACTGTCTCTATAAAATACATTTTCCTTTCGTTGTGGTTTCCAACTGTATTATGTTTTAAATTCATTTCTTTTCCCTTCATTTAAGTAATCCATTCAAGTCAATTTGTACGTTGGTCCCTGTTTTTCTATCTTGTTTACATTTTAAAGTATTTAACATTTAAAAATCCTTGAAAAAATGTATGTTTATACAACTTGCTGTAAAATGCTGGCAATTTATAACTCTGTGATATGAAATTTTAAAAAGGAATACTCTGAAGACTAGACTACTAATGAAATACTGTACAAGCAAAACAATGATCATTGTTAACATCTACAAAATAGCATCTATATAATCCTTCGTAGATTTGACAATTTCATTCATTTTCACTTCTTATTTTTTAAAAAAAAGTGACGATGTGGCCAAAGGGTATAAACTTTCACTTGTAAGTTAAATCATTTCTGGGCATCTTACATATAGTATGGTGACTATAGTTAATAACACTGTTTTACATACTGGAAATTTGCTTAGAAAGTAGGTTTTAGACACTTAGCTTTCTCACCACAAAAAAGGTAACTATGGTTAGGTGATACATGTGCTAATTAACTTGACTGTATCATATTGACTTCACATATACATGTATCAAAGCATTACATTGTATAATTCAAATATATATAATTTTATTTATCAGTTATACCTCAATAACACTGAAAAAAAAAAGCCCTTTCATTTTCCTTTCCAATCTGGAGAAAAAAGAAGAGATGAAAATTCTAAAAGGGGTTAATTTTCCTCAAATTGATCTACGATAAAGAGATCATAGCTTGGCCAGGACTACGTCCAAGAATTCTGACTTGTCACCTAGTGTCCTTTTAATCATAGCCACGAGGACCCTACTGTGAAAAATGAAAGTTCTAAGCACACTGGCCATGAGCATTGAACCAGGGAGATGTGAAGGTGAGTTTATGTTAATAAATAAAGAATACTTCTTTATAATATCCAAGCTATTGTCATTGTCCAGACTGGAAGATTGGCCAGGACTCCTCTTCTCCCGACAATCATGTACCACTTGTATCTGTAATAATGAAAATAATAGTCAAATTAGTGTTTATGTGTGTAAAGTTCTTCCTCAAGGATATCTAGTTCAAATTAAGTTTACTGTGGCCCCTAACTCTGCAGATAAATTGAAAAATAATGCAATTTTTCCAAAAATAACTTTGATACATACAGTACTACTAAAATAAATAATTTGAGTAGGGGCCGGGGATTTAGCTCAGTGGTGCTGCCACCTGCCTCACAAGGACCCAAGTTCGATCCCTGCACCCCCAAAATAATAATAATAATAATTTGAGTTACTTAGCAAGACAGATTTCAGATATAAATTGGAATTTCTTTTATACATTTTTATTTACTTTGTACTTTTGGGAAATGAAATTATTTCATAAAAGTTAATTTTTCTCAATAACTAAAGTTTATTCACTGAAGAACAAAAACAGCTTTTTGGCCTAAATGAGTTTTGTGGAAAACTTTGTAGAAAATATTACATTCATCCTTGAATTCTTCAATCAAGGACACACAACGTAATTAATCTTTTTTCCTAATGATGCAGTAGCATTATAAACTTGACTGTAATAAAATCTAATGATAGCCTCCAGGGCTAAGACATGTGGAATCCTCTATTCCTTCTCAAAATGTCTGTAACTTGTACATCTCTGTTTCTCCTGTGTGTCACATGTTAATTGTTGCTACAAATGGCTTCCCTGATCCTAAACTGCTGTTCTATTTTGCAGACTTTAAAGGACTTGGACTGGTCTACTGAGTCAGCTGCATGGGATTTATTACGGTTAAATGCTCTGCAGAAGCATTTGAAATGTATTCCTGGGATCGCAGCCATACTGAATAGTTGAGCTTGCCAAAAGCCTGACATCCAAAAAAATGTAACATTACTTTGTGACAACCAGAACCCCAAATGAAATGCAAGGTTTATCAGCTAAATAATATATCCATAAAATGTGACCTACATATTATGAGTATATGTAAAAAGGAAGAAGCATTTATTACTACTTTGTATATATTATGCAGGCATAATCCTAAGTGCTTAACACACAACTTTATAACCAATCCTTACAGCAATTTAGAAAGCTACCATGTTTTTTCCTCCATCCTATTTTATTTTATTTTATTGGTACTGGGAATCAAACTCAGGACCTTGCACTTGGGAAGCAGGCAGCAGAACCACTGAGCTAAATCCCTGGCTCTTTTCTTCCATTTTAAAGCTGGGGAAACTGAGGTTCAGAGATGCTTAGTGTTCTGCCTAAATTCACATGCTTAGTAAGTAATGAAGCATCAAGCCCAGTGTCAGAGTCCATGGTTTGGCACTTATGTTACACTCCTTCTTACAGGGTGTGCTTTGTTACGTCAAGTGAATGAACCTAATTACTGTCACCTTCATATTATAGCTATTAAAAATACTGTATACTCCACTTATCAGGTAGGCATGCACGATTTGCTCTTAACAGTTTTGTGAAATACAGGTGTTGAAAGATGAAGACAGTACTGAACCCTAAGTGTACACGTTTTTTTCCCTAGGCAAATGCACTTATGAAAAGTTTAACTTTTAAATTAGGCACAGTAAAACATTAGCAATAACTCAAAATAAAATGGAACAATTATAACTATCCACCGTAGCAAAAGTTAAGTGAATGTACTCCCTGTCTCTGTCTTTCTGTCTGTCTGTCTGTCTCCAATGAAATTTTCCATTTTATATTTTTGGACCCCCTCTGACCACAGGTAACTGCAGCCATGAGAGGCAGCAAACATATACTATATATATATCAAGAAATGAATGGATGTTATTTTCTGAGTCCATGGTTAGCATCCTTATGGTCCACTATTAGAACCCAGCCTCTGTCACTGTTTTATACTTACAGGAGTGGATTCATTCATGGAGCAAAGGTCCTTCTGTAGAAAGAGGTGACATTACTTAGGTTTACAAAGGAGGGGGGTGGTAAAGGAAACTGGAACTTATATGTGAAGTCCTACAGCAATGATTCTGATCTTTCATCAGGGCTTAAAAAACTGCTCATACATCTGGGCTTCTGCCAGTACTGCAATTAGACACAATGCAGCAGCAAATTTGTCTTCTAGATGAAATAGTCTTTTAAATGTACAATATTAGTGTAGTAAATGCAAAAATTTAAGCACCTATATCAATTGTGTAACTGCAGTGATAGATAATTTTGAATTAATTAATGATATTTACTTTTAAGTTGCTCTGATTTTGTCTCCAAGTCTTCTTCCCTAATAGAGAAATGTCAAAGAATTACAAGCCAGAATTAAAGTCAGCATTTGAATACCTGAATATTTATTAAAGAATTAGTTAATATTTCAACATGTTTAGTATTTTCAATGCACACTATAGAAGACAATGGTTAGATATTGTTCAATTTCAACATCTTATTGAACATGATTCTCTTCAATCATCGTTCCTCCAATTACTTGCCAAGCACAGAGCGAGGTGTTCGTGGTCATTATTATTTGCAGACTTAGTGTTCATTTTGACAGAGAAACATTTAATCAGATTGGAGCTCACTGAGTAAATCAAAATATTTTCAAAAAACCCAAATTCAACCTACTGATTACAGCATCTAACATTTATTTGGCACTTACTACACATGAGGCACTGATTTAAGCCCTATGAATGCATTTCCTTTTCAATCCTCAAACCCATTCCATGAGGCAGGTAACTTCTATTCCCACTCTAAAGATAAGGCACTGAGGTTAGTATCTTCTTCAAGAAGCAGCAGTGTATTTAAATCCATGTAGTCTAGGGCCGGGGATTTAGCTCAGTGGTGCTGCCGCCTGCCTCACAAGCACAAGGACCTGAATTTGATCCCCAGTACCAAAAAAATCTATATAGTCTACTGTTGGAATACATGTTCCTAACCAGTAAACAAAGTCTTTTCAAAGCATGTTAGAATGCTCAAAAAACCCCACTTTATCAAAATTCAAAAATTTATGTTTTAATGCCTAATTTATAAAGGTGAGCCCTTGTATTATTAAGCAAAGTGTCAGATATTCCTAAAAACCTAAGGACATGGCCCAATCAAAGATTCAGCTAAATTCCTAATTCTCTCAGCCACTAAAACACAGTCACCCATATAGGATACATGGGTTCCCTCTCTGTGTGAAAGAAATATACCTTTTGTCCTTTGTTCCTGGGCAGCAGCCCATGTCAGACACAGTCAGGAAAAAGATGTGCTGTTATACTGACTGTGTACTTCATTTTCATTTACTACAGATGAACATTATGCTTATATAATCATATATAAATATATATTAGACTTAGCAGGAATTACCATATAAAATCAGTTTCTCCATAGTGATGTGCACTATTTTAAAGAAACAGATGTACATAGATCTGAACCCATTACATAAGGTAACTCTGAGAACAATAGTTAGTTTTATAAATTAATTCTTGCCAAATACACTTAGATGCCAAAAGAATATATACATGACTTATGAGGAACACATCTTTTTCTGATGTATTCATTCTTTCAACAATGTAAATACAGTCAAAATGATTGAGGGCCTATAGGATACGCTAAGCTCTGTGTCTGGGGATACATGAAGACGAACTTTCAGTCCAGCAAGGAAGACAGAGAGCAGGCAATTGCACTAAAGCCGAGGAGACACAGGAGACTCGTTAGCATGCTGGATGAGTACCTGTACTGGGGGGCAGGGGAGGAGAGCAGGAAGGCCAAGCTTACCTGAAGGAAGTGGCCTAGAGACAGGAAATCTGATGAAGAAGTCGGACATGGCATGGGGACATGGGGACAGGGAGAAGGGAGAATGCTCCAGAGACAGACAGTTTATCTAAATCCAAAGGATGAGTAAGGTATGGAAGGAATGGAAGGAAAGGCGGGCAGGGAGTGTATGGGGAGACAGGGAGATTATTGTAGCCGTCAAAGCTACAGATGGTTTCAACTTGGACCAGCAACGTAGTGGTCAGAAAAGCAGGGGGGATGTAAAGAAGAGAATGAGTCATAGAGTCAGTGAGAAGGCAAAGATCCACAGAACACATAAAGGGTTTTGTTTGTTTGTTTTTGTCTTTTTTGTTGTTGTTTTGTTTTTTGGTACTGGGGATCAAATTCGGGACCTTGCACTTGCAAGGCATGTAGAGGAACCACTGGGCTAAATGCCTGGCCCTCAGCACAAAATTTTGACCAATTCAAGGTGGGGCAGGAGCAAGGAGGAGAGCGAGTGGGGGGATCGCAGTGCCATTCACTGAGATGAGGAAGAAAGTGTCTGCGGTAGAGACTGGTCATTTGCGCTATGCTGAGTCTGTGTTTCCTGGGGGAAATTCAAGGAGGTAAATTGTAAACACCACTTTATAAGCAAAGCTTGGCAGAAAGATCTAAACTAGAGATACATATTGCTAAGATCAAGTGGAAACTGGAGATACAGTTTTAGGAGCTCAAGTTCCGTTTTATATTTTATCCTTTCCTAGGCATGTCTTTCCATGACTTCCCTCTGCACTCTGTTAATTCAACAAATATTTATTACACCTTCTGAGCTGCCAGGCACTGTTCTAGGTGCAAGATTCTATTCAATGCAAAGAAAAAAAAGTAAACAGAAGCAAAGAACAACAAAAAACAGTTTGACTTTTCTTGTGAAACATTAGCCCAGTTTGGATTTGATCAGATCTTATATATATATTTGTTTTGGCAATTAAAAGTCTTAAAGAATGGGTCCAGAATAGACCGTTATAATTCCCATCACACACAGAGCAATGGGGTAAAATGAACAAGGTTTGTAGCATAAGCAACACTTTGCTTTCATTTACAAACCATAACGGGCAATGTAGGAAAACAGTTGTATTTCCACGCCATTTATTCTGCCTCATACATACATTAGGCCCTCTTAAACTGAAGAAAGTCCACAACAAAGAGTTGGATTATAGATGGCATGGGAAGACTCTAAAATGAAAGCAAATCTGATTCATTTAAACATCACTAATTGTTTTTCTTTTTTTCTTTGTAAGTAGTTGTTTTTTGAGAGATATTAAGTTCAGAAGTATAATCTACTTTTCATATAGCCATTTTCTAAGGTAAATTCAATCCTGAGAATAATGGATGGTTGTTATAAAAAAGGGGGGAAAATCACTTGCAGTCAGAACTTTTGCTGCTTTTAGACTCCAAACTGGTTTTTCACGTGTACACAAACTCAGAAATGTACTGATGATAAGAAATATAATAAAGATGGGTACCTTTTGAAAAAAGTTTACATGCTTGAAAGAAAGAGTATCCAACTCCCACTGCAGAAAGAAAGTGTAATGCCATTAAATAAGAATTGCAGAGAGAAAGGGGAAAAAAAAGAAATGATACAAAACAAAATTTTCTTTGGGTGACTCATCACTTGAGTGAGTCTCAGACAGTCTGCTCCTGACCCTGGTGCGTCATTTCCGGAGGAGCTAACCTTTCAGAGCACTAAACCAGAAGCCTTATCCAGGAGGAAGGGAATGTCGGGTTCACTGGGCACTTCTTACACTCTGCACATTCTTTTCCCTTTGTCTTCACAACAGCCCTTTGATGTCAGTCGGTATTATTGTCTCTATTTTACAGACAAGACAACTGAAGCTAAGAGAAGTTAAGTGAACTGCCTAAGGCAGTCACACAGCCGATGGAGGCAGAAATCTAAATGAAGTCTGTCTTACGCTTAGAAATATCCTTCTTCGTTTTCTTTTTTTCTTTTGGAACCTGGGATTGAACTCAGGACCTCACGCTTGCCAGGCTGCTGAGCCATATCCCCAGCTTACTTAGATATATCAATCTGGTCTATTTTTGCTTTCATAGCTGTTGGGTTCCATTCCCTTATTTTTGTTGCGGCTGCTCATTTTCTCTGTATTTTTGATATTTCTGCTATCTTCAATTTAATCAACATTAATTTAAGCTATTATTGATAGTTTTGAGTATACGTATATATTTTGTAACTATTACTTAAAACTTTCATCATCTTAATCTGATTACCTGTTCTCATCATTTCCTTTCAATCTGATTTGTGCATCCGATGAGAAGCATTTTGGTGCTTATTATCCCTGGTTCAAGAATTCTCTGAATTTCAAAGCAGTTCCCTTACACTAATGACATCCCTGCTTTTAGATTAGAAACTAAATTTAGTCCCGTGTTCACCAATTCCACTAACTTATGGCCTCAAAAAACAAATAGCAGTACTAAGAGGCTTGAAAGACAGGTCAAAGAAATCTTTGGGGCAAAAGGTATATCTTATTTTCAGAGCAGTTCTCCATCAGTACAAGGATCATTTTTCCACATAGAACTCAGATAGAGCGTGGATGTTACATTGTTAAAATAGACTATAAAGACTGAAATTAGGAAATGGACTCTGTAATAAGAAATTACCAACAACATCATTCTTTTTACCACTACCTATTTAGAAAACTTATGTAAATTCTATTTAAGTCATTCACACATCAGAAGCACAAGAAACAAATAAGAGTTTAGAGTTCTAATTATTCTAATAATGACGTGTGTGCATCCACACATGTGTACATCAGTTTCAGATATTTTCCTCCACCTTCTGAAAAAGAGTGTGAGATCAATGCTAGTAAAATTTACATACTCATTTCTAAAGCTAGAATACTCAGTCCTGAGATGTTCGCCTTCCTGCACTATTCTGTGTTACTACTGCATTTTAGAACTACACAAAAACCTCAACCTGACTCCTGCCTTGGTCAATATGATTTAAACATGACCAAAGATGTTAAAAGAAGCTTTCAGTTCATCAGGACTGCAGAGAGAATTCAGTATTTACATCAAGAGTAACAAAGTAAACAATAACAAAATGAGAAGAGACAGGGAAAGTGAAAGTAAGATATTTTACCAGGTTTAGGTGAAAAAAATTGTACTCTGGACGGCATCACATTTTCAGGTGTGGGTACCATAAACTGGATTGGCCTCACATGCTTATCTCTCACATTTCTGAAGCCAGCCTGCTGGCTCTCAAATATGCTTCGAATATTTTCAAGCTTGAGCTGTACATTCTGCATTTGAACCTGTAGGTTATATTATAATTCTATGAAATATTTTTTGAAGTGAGGTCAGAACAAACTGTTACATTTCTCAGACTCAGACCAAAAAATCAATTTACAGTTAAAATACAACTAGATGAAATTTAGGAAAGTAACAAAAAGCAAATATATATACCAAGATCTCAGCCAAAGCAATGCGGGGAAGAAATTTATCAAGCAATCACAAAATTGGTCATTGCACGGAGTGATTTGCCCTCACTGGCCAGAAAACAAGGCATAGTATTCCTTTCTATATAATCTAAATCCTGACAACAATCAAGTGAACACTGTCATAGTATTGTGTTGCTTGGAGCAAGTTCTTTATGGTTTTCCAGGATGCAAAGGGCTCTTCACAGTCACTGATGGATAATACATCCTTTGCCCCTCCTAGATGCTTTGCGGCAGCTAGAGTTAAGCTTGGTTGCTTTCAGAGAATCAGGTGGTTAATAAGTACAATCATTTTTCAGATTTTTCTGATGCATCTGTTAGACAGGGGTGGTGAACCTATGGCACGTGTGCTGCAGCGGGCTGTTCATATCAAGAAAACTCTAAAAAGTTTGCCATTGTTGCCCTAGGATGTGCAGCTAAGCACAGCTTTAGATACTGTTGTGACCTTAGGGTTGACTACACATTTTATTAGCAAACAGCATCGAAGATGCTCTTATCTACCCTGTGGCATCTCCAAGGGCACCATACTGAGGTAACCTATAGGTCTCCGCCCTGTTCTCACCAACTTCTGCTGGCTCCCCCTTCCCCAAGAGGACCCAGATCCTTTCTTTATCCTTTTGTTTTCAACCATAAGCCAGATCTGTGTTCCTGTAGTATCTGCAGCTGGCCACTGTATTACAAAGGAAAGATATTTGAGGTAGTGTGCTCTTAACATGAGCTCAAACATCCCACAACACTTCTGAGCTTTTCTCCAAGATGCACATGAAAAATCTATGTGAGTGCTGCAGTATTTTGGAAGATTTTGAAAATAATGGAGTCAAAAATCAAAAAGAAATACACATTTTTGGATTCTTTGATGCTTGACCATGGCACTACTGCCACCTCTCACCCTTAAAGAGAACTGTGTACACGCAAGAGGCCCTAAAGTTATGGGAAGGTCGTAAGGCTCTTGTACTACTCCAAGCATAGTTTCTAAAAAATCTATTTCTTAGGATAAAAGCTTCCTACCTTGAGTTCAGGAGATAAAATCACATCAAATTCATACTGTAGTGATTCCAGGTCATAATTGATAAAGGGCAGAGCCATCTCAAGAAAATTTTCAATGTCTTGAAGGGCTTTCTGAACATCTTCTTTAGACTGAAACTTATCTATCTCCTGATTAGCTAGAAGACATTCCCCTTCATCACAGCACTGAAGAGCCTGGTGAGAGAAAAAAAAAAGAATGAACAAAGAGGAAATAGAGTGGGCATCAGCCCTTATTTCTGTGAATCAGAAATGCTTTCAGAGCTATTTAAATTAAAGATATCTGGGTTCTGCCTCCAGAAATTCTGATTCCATAGCCCTGGGACATAAGCCAGGAATTTATACTTTTCTAGAGCTCCCCAGGTATTGCTGATACCAACAAGGTTGGGAGGCGCTGCATTTATTTCATAACAAGTAATTTCTTCTGCAGCAGGAGTCTGACCATTTTCTCAACACTTTAGTTGCATCTTATTTTCCCCAAAGCAATATCTGAAATATGAAACTCCTAGGAAATACAGTGTCATATAAATGGCTAGTGATTGCCATGGATAAAATCAAAGGTTTCCTTACCCAAAAAAGGAGATGTACAGATTAACATGTTTATGTTCAGATATGATGTAAGTGCTCCTCCTATTTTCCACACCCCTGAGAAGAACAGGTGTGTACAGTCACCTTTCCATTCATTGCTTAATTATAACAGGGGTCAGACCCACAGGGCATAGAGACTATTTTCAAACCATCATACTTTTTTGTGCCATACTATGTGATGCAGAAGGAATTTCGGGCTTCAGCAAAACTCACGCTCGTCTCTGAAAGGTGCTTTGAATGTAAACTATCTCGAATAGAGTCTTCAGAGATATACTCAGCATAGAATGGAAGACATTGCCACCACAGCCTCCGTGTTCACAACAGGAAAGAATTTGAAGTATACTGACTCTGCCATGAATACAGTATGAGCAGATGGACTGAAAAATAATCATCAAACTCAGTCCTTAAGACTTCTTACAAATTTAAATCTAAAGCTATGTCAGACCCTGACCTTAATAACCTCTAAGAAGTTAACAAGTACGCCAAAAGACGTAAGGGCAAAACACATGTCAGGCCAAGAAGATCGAGGAAAACATTTGTAGTCTTTTTCAGAAATGGATCGTTTCCCATCATACTACCTGCTGCAGTAGTTTATGCATCTTGAAGGTCCTGCTGAGCTGTATCTGCTTTGTTTTGATCTCATTAGCCAAGATATCAGAAAGGTAACGGAGCTCGTTGCACCTCTGGCAGATTAAGTCCAGTGCATAATGGTGATTTGCTGCCAGCCTGTGTCCATGTAAGGTCAGAAATTGGGCCTTTGATAACAGATCCTGATTTAAAGAAAGAAAGCAAATAATAAGAAGCAAATTGAACTGAGGAGATACACTGCCTAAACATGATGTGGTATACTTGCCCAGGCTGCAGAAAGCTTACAGTTGCAACATTAGCTTCAGAAATGATGTCATTAGAACCGCTCATGTGTCTAGTTACAGAAATTACAAGGAAACCATCTCGAGTGGAGACATGATTGATTGTTCCTAGTATGTACAGATTTAGAACAGAACTACACATATCAACTGAAGTATACACCTGCCAGAAGAAAGCTAACGTACTTTAGATCGTCCCAGTCTTGGAAATCCCATGACAGTCATCACTGACCTGAGTACTTCTAACACATCTAAAATTAACATCAAAATGACCTGAGCAGCCTTGCCTCTACTCTGCCAACTACTGACAGACCTGCAGTGTCACCCAAGGGCTACATTAAAGAAAAAGGAATTTAGACCAGTATCATTGTGCTAATAACTCTATAAAATGTATTGAAAGATAAAGCATGATAAGCGTTTGCACCACTGAGTCACCAAAACATACCCATTATACTCCATAAATACAGTACACATCTAAAATACAATCTTAGCCGGGCGTGGTGGTGCACGCCTGTGATCCCAGCACTCGGGAACCTGAGGCAGGAGGATCACTGTGAGTTTGAGACCAGCCTGGGCTACAATGTGAGTTACAGGTCAGTCTCAACTACATAGCAAGACCCTGTCTCAAAAAACAAACAAACAAACAAACAAAATAAAATACAGTCTTACCTGAGAATTTTCTTCTAAGCTTTCCAGTTGTTTAAGTTTTTGTTTTATTTGAGTGATACTCCCTGTTACATCGCCCAGCTCTGCTTGTTGATTTAACAGAAGTTCAACTTCAGTCACAAGCTAAAATTAGGAAATACATAGGTTTTAAAAACATGCAAGTTATTATATGGCTTCTCTTTAGGATCAAGTTTTTTAGGAAATGCTATAAAACAAGAATGTCACTATGGAAAAAATTACACATATGGAAAATAGGTTCAGCTATTTTAGTCAAAGAAATAGCAGTAATCTATTAAAATGTAACCTTATGATATCACTGTGTACTTGTGATTTAGAGAGAATCAGTGTGCACACATGCAGTCACAAATGTGGGTGTGTGTTTGCACACATACACTCCCCAGCTCTATGGTGAATGGGCCTGGAAGCAACGATAGCATACCTAGAACTCAGATCTTAATTTTTCTATCATTTCCCAGAAAAAAACAGGGTCACACAGGAAAATGTCTACTTTTGAGATCAACACATAAGACATAGAAGATAAGCTTTGCAATATCTCTATGACAAAAATAAGAAAATGTGTTTTTTTTTAATGTTGGGACATACTACAAGGATAGAGTAGCCAGCTTTGAATACCAGCATTGTTAAGAACAGTAATACAGGGCCAGGGATTTAGCTCAGTGGTTCAGTGGCCTCCCTTGCAAACACAAGGACCCGAGTTCAATCCCCGGTACCAAAACAAAACAAAAAAACAGTAATACATTATAAACTGTGAACACCCATGGCTCAAACATATAAATGAGAAAAAAAGAAGGCTCCTGCTTCAGCACAATGCCTACTGAATATGGATAAATGTTAGAAAACCATGACTTTCCCGCCCCATACTAAAGACTGGTTCAGGGAAGAATCATTAACAGATGTTAAGTCTATGGGTAATTTTCCCTTTGTTTAATTTTATTTTGCAGTACGTAATGACTGCATTCATCATGGGGTGTTGGTACATGTACATAACACATCTTCAGTCTTTTCTCGTCCCCTCTCGCACACTCCCCTTCCTTCTCCCTCCACTTCTTGGTCTCCCTCCCTTTCACAAAACTTCCGTGGAAATTCTCTTAAGGAACAAGATATTGTGCATTTGTTAAATTTTCTCCTCACACATTTTCTACTACTTACAATGGGTGCAGAATGAGTAACTACACTGTAAAGAAATTCAACAATACTCTGGTTAATCAAAATCCACATCGACAATAAAGGACAGGCGGGCATCAGTCACCTCCAGATGTGATACTCTGAGAAGGGCTCATCAGTGTGTAGTGCTCCGGTTGGTCAGATATAGACTAAGCTAATCATGGGAAGATGTCAAATGAACTAAAAATGAAGAAATCTTATTTTTAAAAGACTGTTCTTCAAAATGTTAGGGTCATAACAGACAAAAGAAGACTGTGGAAATGTCCTATATTCAAGAAGACTAAAGAAACAAGACAACTTAGTGTAACACTGGAACCTAGATTAGATCCTGTATTGAAAGAAAAAAGTGTTATAAAGGACATTTTTAATTAATTGACAGAATTGGAATACTGATGGTAGATAATATAAAAGTATTGCATTGTTGTTAAAGGTACCAAACTTCATAACTGTACTGTGGTATAGGAATGAATATACTTATTATTAGAAAACAACAGAAGCACTTAGGAGAAAGAGGCCATAAGATATACAAGTTATTCTCAATGGATCAGAAAAAAATGTCATTTGTCAGAAAAAAAATTTACATACACACACATACACAAATGAGGTAAAATGTTATGTTAATCTTGGGAAAAAATCATACGGATGTTTTTACTTTTCTTATATTTCTAACATTTCTGTAAATTTGAATTTCCAAATAATTTCTGTAAAAAAGATAAGCTTTACACAGAACATATCTGCTTGTCACTATGAAACACAGACTGGGTTGTTGAGATTACAATGTAAGGAAAAGCAAACAATACTGATTAGAGACAGCAATGACTGGAGGAAACAAAACATAATCACAGAACAAGAATGCATAATGGATGCAAATGACATGTAAGTAGATACATGGTTGGTACGCTCACAAAGGTGCTATTTTGCAAGTTTGGGCTGGGGAAGGAGAAGAGACACAGATTACCTGGCTGGACCAAGAACAATTTAAAATATTCTCTCTTTAAGTAAGACATCATGGAAAACATGGCACTTGAAAAGCTGTTTGAATGGAACGCTGGTAGTTAACTAAGCCCTGTGTCCCGAAAGCAGTGGTCCTCTCATACCTAACTCTTCTAGAACAAATTAAATAGCAAGGGAGCCATTCATAGAAAGAAGATAAGCTAGGCATACAAAGAGAGGAAAGAAAGCTTTCCTTGGTGAGCTCCTCAAATATTAGGCCTGTGAGGAGCTTGGACAGGACTGCAACAAAAATGGATGAAAGCCATGTCTCTTGCCAACATACAATGGACAGAAGAGTCCGACTGGAATAGACACTCAGTCTCTTAAATAATGTGGAATGAAACATGATTTAATTCCATCCATCAGGTTCTTCAGAGAAACAAATTCCAGAATCATAAAAGAAGTTTGTTAGATCATAAGGTTAGCATGGATATGAGGGAATTAAAAATCAAGGAGAGCATATTATTTCCTTAAGTTATCACCTAGCCTGAGAATGCTTTATAGCTACAGTAACTTTGAAAAAAAATCTTAAGATAGAGAGCAACTCTATCCCTATCATACATGTTGGCACTTAAGTGCTTTCTCATAGGAAATAACATGAAGAGGAGATGCTTTGGAATTTTAGCAATGGTTTTCTTCATCTAAACTAAAATTTACTTACATTGGTCTTGTATGAGCATCCTATAAGGTGGGGTTTAATATTCAAGGAGAAAGAATCTCTAGCACAGTGGAAAGAAATACATGTTTTAACTCACCTCTTGAAAATCTTGTTCAAACTTCCATAGTTGCAGATACTGTTCCATTTTTAATTGGTGTTTTTCCCAAAATCCATCAAAAGCTGTTTCCATATCACGTACTTGAGCCAGCAATCTGAACAAAGAAAACCTGAAGAATTCCTTACAAACAATAACCTGTGTTGCCGAGACATAGAAAAACCTGGTCTGCACATTTAGAACAGAAAGCAATCATAGTCTGCAGCATTTGCTCTCAACAAAGACAACCAGTGACCACAGAACTCCATTGAGCAAGCATAACTCATCTCTGCAAGACAGCCTGGGAGGGGGAGTCCTCAGATTTCCAGAGGCCCAGAAACACTTTTATACAGGATGGGCTGCAGCAGAAATGTTTAGCTGCATTTGAAAATGTAAAATAAATGAACTCTCCACAACAACAAAAAAGGATAATAAGTACTCACTTATTAATCGTCTTCCAATCGCCGCTTATATGCTGATGACGTTCAAGACTTGAACTGACAGCTCCCTCAGACTCAGGCACTTTCAGGTTTGTCAGCAGAATTTTTCCTTCTTTGGTTACAGCTGTAATATCATTCTGCACAGAGGGAGAAAAGGATACATCAGCCAGTGAGGAATGCAACCTCAAAGGCCACAAGAGAAGGGTAAACACACCTAAGCCGCGCAGAATAGCAACACCAGGGGTAGAATAGCCTTTGGCCTTCACAGGTGTCTAGAAAATCCAGGCACATTTCAGTACCACAAAATCCAGAAGCTGTTAGACTCCTAGAAGGCTTTAGGGATGGATATTACAATAATCGTTTTATAAAACCATTACAGGCCGAAGTACCACATGCTTTTTGTAGCCTCTCCTTTTACTGGTAACAAGTTCTAATCTGTTCCATTCTATTCTATTTTTAATGTGCTCAAATAAACCAAGAGTAAAACAAAAGCTACCACAACAGAAAGTATACAGTTACAAAGAATATTTAATACATATTCCGAACAATGATATATCTTTCTTACTAATCATTTATTATTTCCAATCAATTCCTGCCTTAAGTCTTATTTCACTTGACATTTGGGTTTAATTAAAATGAAGCATATGCCTCTGTTTGGAAGGCTGTATTCTTGGAGTGAGCTAAAAACACAGACATCAGACATCTAAGAGTAATGTAAGATTTCCTTAAGGAAGTCCAAAAGCCCCCTAAAATTTGGATATAAGGGGCCGGGATGTCACCACATGAGGTGTCAGCTTAGTGTGTTTGACACCCTGGGTTCCATCTTTAGCATGGCAAAAAAGAAGCAGCTAAGACTTGTAAAGTGCCAACTATGTGCCAAACACTGTTGTATATCCCTCACATACTACACCTCATTTCAGCTTCACAACAAATGTTCACAAGATATCCATGCATCATCAACCTCATTGTATAAGTAAAGAAAGTGAAACACAGCAGGATCAGCAAACTGTCCAACACCACAGTTTGTGAGAAACAGAGCTTTCTTTTCTTGGACACAGTTTTGCTTTTAGATTGTGATTCAAACATTCACACTTTCTTTCCTCTTAATTGAAACATGTCACCTCTACATGAAGCTGGAATCTGCTAATGCACCCAGCACACCTATTGCTACATGAAGGAGAGTAGTGATATTTGGATACCTGGTACTTGTTGAGATTGCTTTTTCACTTTTTCAGGAAAGTGACCCTAAAAGTACTTGCTCATTATCAGAATCATACCTCCAAATCCTTCACAATTCAACACTCCAGACAGAATTGAGTAGAACAAAATCAATTTCCCACTCCTGGTCTACCGCAAAAAATGTCAAGCATGCAAGATACAGGGAAGCTTGGGCAAATTTGTGAAACCCCATCTCAAAATAAAATAGGGAGGGCTAGCTGGAGATATAGCCCAGTGGTAGAGTGCCCCAGAGGTTCAGTACCCATCACCAAAAATAAACAAAAATAAAAAAAGAAAGGAAGAAAGGAAGACATCAAGTACTAGTACAATGCAGAATATAGAGCTCGTGATCAGTTAAGCAATGTTAGCCTTGGCCATAATGCTAGCTCATGGCAGAGATGAGACAAGCAAGCAATCTCCTTGCTGCTCCTAATTCACACTCTCTGTGATGGGGGTTCAAACAGAACACCTGTCCAAATCTGGGTTCTTGCCCTTGTTTTCCAAATGAGTAGGACTTTTCATTAGAGAAAGAGTATTTGATTTAAAGAAAAAATGACTGTGGATTGCTTATTCTGGAGCATTTATAAGATAGTTTATTTTCAAATAAAAAATTTCATAAGATAATGCACCATATGCACAAAGAAACCTTAGACTCAACATAGCCAGTATATTCGTCTCTGATAAAGTATTATATTTTATAGTTTTTATATAATATGTACATTACTTTTATTTTTCTATATGCAGCAATCAGTGTGAAATGAACACAACAAACAACTTTTTAGAAAAAGAAAGGTCATGCAAAACTTTTGTTTGTTCACTGTACCAGACATACCTTCAACAGATGATACCTTTCAGCACGAAGTGCCAGAGTTTCTTGTATTGAAGGCATATCATCGGGTAGTTCTGACTCAGCCAGTTCAGTTCCAAAAGATTGTAACATCTGAGCCATTTCTTTTACTGTGAGGGCAAAACTTTCTATAGCCTGTAAAAAGCCAGTGATTGTTCTATGAAATTCTGCCATTATATTGTAACTATATTTCTTTTTATTTGGGTATAACAGCAAACATACATGGTATGAACTCTCCTCTGCCAAGGAACTTTGGTATTACCCTTAGCAATCAGCTCTAGCTTTGCATGTAAGGCTCTAAGAAACCAAAAACATGGCTAAAGATCTTCTTGAGTGCCATTTTTCTGATTCTCTGGACTTTTTTTCTTGATACTGATGAAAACTATTTCTTGAGGGCTGGAGATGTAGTGCAGTGGTAGAATGCTTGCCTACCATGCACAAGGCCCTGGGTTCCTTGCCTTCCAAATTCTCTGGGTCCCAAAACAAAAACAAAAACGAATAAAAACTAACTACTTGCTACAGATGCCATGTATTGAATAATTCATTCTATGGTCATGAAAATCACAATGATTTCCTTTTTCTGTCAAACTCTGCAATGGGTAAAACTGCTTTATAATAAATTTAATTCTGAAAGAGAGTTAAGAATAACAAAGATATTTTCTAATTATTTCATATCCTTTATGGAAAGCAGTAGCATTCCAAACTAGATGATGATATAAGGAAATGGGGAAAGAAGGTGTTCCAACAATTCACTGCTGAAGATCTGAAATCATCACCCCCAAGGCTGTATTGCTCTAAAATGGCAAGTAAGGTTGAATTGTTTATTTTGCTTACAAAATCAATTACTACACACAGAAAGATGGACAAAATGTAGTGATCATATAAACCACCATTTTACCATGCAGGTCAAGTCATCTGCTCATTTCTTTCTTTCTTTCTTTCTTTTTTTGTTTTTTTTTGTTTTTTTTTGTTTGGTACCGGGTATTGAACTCGGGTCCTTGTGCTTGCAAGGCAGGCCACCAAACCGCTGATCTAAATCCCCAGCCCCTGCTCATTTCTTTAGGCTTTATAGATTATTAAAGGCTAGATACAGTATTGGTGATTTTGACATTAATGCCTTCATATGGATGAACAGATGAATTGTTGAATGGACTGTGAAATGAACTGATGAATGACAAATAGAGATGATGAAATGCAAACTTGATTTCATGAAACTTCCTTATTTCCTTCAGAAGGGTTTCCATGTCTCAGAATTGGAAGTCAAGATACTTAAACCACAGACTCCCACCTGGAAAGCACAGGTCCCTCATATATTTGTAAACTTCTAAAATAGAAGGACTGTGCTATAAATCCAATTGCCTCAGGAACAGCACCAGGATGATGAAATTAATCATATTACTTGCACTTATTGAGGGTTTTTTTGCCATATGCCAGGCACTGAACCAGACATTTTGCACTAGTTATATCATTTAGTCTTCTCAAAATCCCTATGAAGTAAGGTATTCTAATTCCCGTTTTATAATTGGGAAATGAGGTAAGGTATTCTTATTTCCATTTTATAATTGGGAACTATGATTTGGAAAGGTTGGGAATATCGTCCAAGGTCAGACAACTAAAACTCAGAAATTCTGGGAAGTGAATCTCAACCTTTTGTTTCTACATGGCCACAAGAAGGGACGGGCAGAGTGTGCTCTTATTCCCTAGGCCTCTCCAGTGGCTATCCTCAGAGACTCTTCATCATTTCTAGATATTTCCTAGGGAAGAAAATCAAGAGGTTGAATTATGTATGTATTTCAAAAGTAGGAGCCCCAAAAATCTGTTTTTCCCAAATAGGAAAATTTTCTAGAACTAGATATAAAGGCTAAAACAAACTATAGGCTCTACAGTAAGGGCAAAAGCAACATACATTTCTGAAGATGATCCATTCACTGTGGCAGTACTGCAAGGTGCCGCCTAACTCAGGGGTTAACTGCTTGTCATCAATGTATGTCAGCAAATCACTAACTGAGCTCAGCATAACAACCTATATAAATAAGCAAGAAAGATACTGTTAACTGTCCTTCATGACATCCCTCAATTAAATTGTAAAATGACCTTTAGAATAAATTTACCAGAAAGTTATCTTGAATAAGTGGTTCTAACAATTCTCTCCTGTACAAACCCAATATGCATGTGTGCGGTATCTTTGTCAGGTATTAAGTTTTTCTTTATAAAACGTTTATCGGAAAGCAACATCAACCTGCACAGAAACCACAGCACCTAATTCTCTTTCATCTAAGAGTTTTCATTGTCCATGGCAGCTTGTGACTGAATGCTATACTCACAAAAAAGTAAAGGACTTTATGTCCTTAATCAGAATGTATCAGGAGAGACTGATCTTTCCAAAACTATCAAGATTTAGGAGCACTGCATTCCTAACAATAAAAACATATAAAAATATCTTTTCAAAATAAGACACATGGTACTTTGGAGTAGCTCAGGATGTGAGTTCATGGGAATTCAAAAACATAAAATAAATACTCATTTTTACTAAAAATAAAAGTTCCTGATAACACACACACACAAACACACATACACATATATACACATACATGTAAAACATATGTATTTTTCAAAGAAATTTTTTGTTATAAATTCTTGAACTATTCCTTTTTTATCAACATAAGTAGAAGGCTTTTGGGTATTTACATTTACATTTTTGGAAGGCAAATTTTATTTCATATTCTTTTAAATGCTTTGTGGGCACATGTAAAACAAATACCATGGTACAAAGTTTTCATGAGAATTCAAGAGATAAAACATTTAAATAAGATACTCTTACTGGTAATTTCAGCATGAATTCCTCCTGACTAAATCGGAATCCAATATCTGTGAAGGTTCGTTGAAGAAAACTGGTAGGACGTAAAACCAAAATTAAGTGCAAGTTCCCAGGGAAAGAAGCCTATAAGGAGAAAGAAAGAAAATTGGTAAAATAAGCAGTCCACTGAGCACATATCAGAAAACACAATGATTGAAAGAAATAAACTTTAGAGTCATAAAAGCCATTAAAAGGCCAACATTTTTAAAATGGATATTGATAAAATCTAAAATCATGGTTAACAGGAATAAAAACAATGTAAGGTTACAGGTCAGATCCTGCAGTGCTCCTGGTGTGGAATTTTCTCAGATAAGTACACCCCATGTTACAAAGAATTAGACTCTAAAGCTTCATTTTGGCATTAGTTTTGTTTTTATTTTTTAATTGACATATAAAATTTGTACTTTTGTGGAGTATAATATTGTAATTTGAAACATCAGTTAGTGCGTGCGGGCCCCAGTCAGAAGAATGCCCAGACATCAGCGGCATGGTTACACAGACCCCAGCCAAAGGCCCACCCAGACAACAGCTGCATAGGTAGGAAGGCCCCAGACAGAGGCCTGCGCAGGTACAACCCATAAGTGCTGGCAGGCCCCAGCAAAAAGCCCACCAAGACACCAGAGGCTCGGCCATTTAGGCCCCAGCCATAGTGCCCAGATACCATTGGTAAGTGCGAGCAGGCCCTAGTTAGAAGCCTACACAGACAAGAGCAGCACAGACACACATGCCCCAGCCAGAAACCTGCCCAGACACTACCAGCTCAGGCTCATAAGCCCCAGCCAGAGACCTGTCCAAATACTATAAGTAAATGCACACACATACCAGACAGGAACCCACATGGATAACAGCCAAATGCGGGGATCCAGAAGGCCATCATTCAGAACCCACTAATTGGCGCAGTGGTGAGCAGTAGAGAGAAGACTTCTCTGAGGCTTGTTTAGAAATAAAGCCCACTGGAAGAGCAAAGAGTCACCTCAATAAAGGCTCAGCAGACTACATCAGTTAAAATGAGTAGACACTTAAGCAAGACTCAAAACCAGACTTCCATATCACCAAAGGCCAACTCCAGGGGACAACAAGATGGAACAATTTGATACTCAACCACCTGGACTCCCTCAACGGGCAATGAAAAAGGATCTGGAAAAAAATGAAATCAGAAATAATTTCTCAGATAACAACAGATACTGCATCAATAGTGAAAGACGTGGTTAATAACTTCAGAGGAGATACAGATAAAAAACAATAGAGGAGATGAGGAACATGATAGAATCCCAGAATAGGAAACAAATGGAATCCATAAAACAAATGCAAACAGATATCCAGGAGATTAAAACCATTGAAAATTTACACAGCAGAACGAGCGAATGTGAGAACAGAATATCAGATATAGAAGACAGTAATGTGATTAGTGACTAGGAAAAGAAAGGTTTCTTAAAAATATAAAGGGACCATGAGAAATCAATCCAGCAGCTGCTAGATGATGCAAAGAAGAATAATATAAGACTGATCCAAAAAAAAAAAAAAAGACAAATCCAAACAGAAAAAAAAATTAAAACCATTGAAAATTTACACAGCAGAACGAGCGAATGTGAGAACAGAATATCAGATATAGAAGACAGTAATGTGATTAGTGACTAGGAAAAGAAAGGTTTCTTAAAAATATAAAGGGACCATGAGAAATCAATCCAGCAGCTGCTAGATGATGCAAAGAAGAATAATATAAGACTGATCCAAAAAAAAAAAAAAGACCAATCCAAATCAATGAAGAAACAGGAGATACTGCAGACAACATTTAAAAAAAAACATTCTAAGAAGTAAGGACAGAAAACTTCCTAAGCAGTGGAAAAGAATTTGACATACAGATAAGTGAGGCATATAGGACTGCAATTAGCCATAATTTTAAAAAATCTACCCCAGGCACATAATAGTCAAGATTCCAGAAGCCCAACAAAATAACAAAATACTTCAAGCAGTTAGACAAAAGAAACAAATAACATACAAAAGAAAACCCACCAGAATCACAGAAGACTTCACAACAAAACCCACAAGTGAAGAAGAGCCTGGAATGAAGGAATTTAAAACCCTAAAACAACCTCAAACTTAGATTAATGTACCCTGCAAAACTATCTTTCAAAATTCATGGGGAAGTAAGATACTTTCATGACAAGGAGCACCTAAGGAACTTCATGACTACCAAACCTGCACTCAAAAAAATTTTTTTTAAATATCCTAGGAATGGGCCACAGATTTAGCTTAGCGGTTTGGTGGGCTGCCTTGTAAGCGCAAAGACGCAAGTTCAATCCCTGGTACGAAAAAAGAAAGCATCCTAGGAAAAGACAATGAGGGTCAAAACCTGATGAAGCCCAGCATAATGAATCCATCAGGCAAGCCTAGAAATTAAATGCAAAGAGGGAAATACAAACAAGGAGAAAATATCAACACAAGGACAAGTCAATATATATCAGCTATAACCATCAATGTTAATAGTCTCAATTCACCAATCAAAAGAAATAGAATTGCAGAATGGGTCAAGAAGCAAGATCCAACAGTATGCTGCATACAAAAAAAATACTTAATTCAAAAAGAAACTCATAGACTGTAAAATAAAGGGTGAAAAACAATACTCCATGTGACAGAAACCCAAAGAAAAGCAGGAGTAGCTATCCTAATTGCAAATCAAATCGATTTCAAACCAACCCTACTTAAGAGAGACAAAGTAAGGCCACAAATCCTTGGAAAGGTAACAATCCAAGAGAAAGAGATGACAATTACAAATACATATGCAACAAATACTAGTGAAACCAATTATATAAAACAAATATTAATGGACATTGAAAATCAAATTAGTACTAATACAATAGTAGTGGGGGACGTCATTATCTCACTGTCACAAATAGATCAATTAGACAAAATACAAACAAGGAAATACTAGAACTCAATCAAACTCTTGAACAAATGGACTTATCAGATGTTTACATAGCATTCCACCCCACAAAATCAGAACACACATTGATTTCGGCTACACACAGGTCATTCTCCAAAATAGGCCATATACTTGCTCATAGAACATATTAAAGTAAATGCAAAAAAACTGAAGTTATCCTGTATACATTATCAGATCATAGTACAATGAAATTAGAGATCAATAGCAAAAGGAACCACAAGAACTTCATAAACACATGGAAATTAAACAACACATTCCTGAACAGCCAATGGATCACAGAGGAAATTAAAGAATAAGTTAGTTTATACAATTAAATAACAATGCCAACAAAACATACCGGAATTTATGGGACACAATGAAAGGAGTCTTGATAGGGAAATTCACAGGAGTGAATACTCATATTAGAAAAACAGAGTAAGCTCAATTACACAACCTTATACTGAACCTCAAGCTTCTAGAAAAAGAAGAGCAGGACAAACCCAAAGCTTGCACAAGGGAGGTAACTGTAAAGATCAGACCAGATATCAAGACAATGAAAACTAAGAGAACTATACAAAAACCAGCAATGAAACAAGTAGGTTATTCAAAAGAATAAACAAAATTGACAAACCCTTAGCCAGCCTTATCAAAAAAAGGAAAGAAAAGTCCCAAATCCGTGCAGTTAGGAATGAAAATGGTGAGAATTACAACGGACCCACCAGAAATCCAGATAATCTTTAATACCTACTTTGAGAACCTATATGCCAATAAGATGGAAAACACAGAAGAAATGGAGAGGTTTCTAGACACATATGAACTATCAAAGTTGAATAAGGACGTAAAAATTCTAAACTACCCAATATCAATCAATGAAGTTGAAAGCATAATTTAAAAGTTACCAGAAAAGCCTGGGTCCTGATGCCCTCACTACAAGACATGTAGAGAACTATTGCCACTATACTTTAAACTCTTCAATGAAATTGAAAGGGAAGCAATACTCCCAAATTAATTCCTGGAAGCAAGCATCACTGTGATCCAAAAAGAAGAGAAACACCCAACCAAAAAAAAGAACATAGGCCAATCTCTCTAATGAACATAGATGCAGAAATCCTCAGCAGGATACTGGCAAACAGAATGCAAAAGATCATCAAGATCATACACCCTGACCAAGTGGAATTCACCCCAGGGATGCAGGGATGGCTCAACATATGCAAATCAATAAATGTAATCCACTATATTGACAGAGTCGAGGACAAAAACCATATGATCATCTCAATAAATACAGAAAAAGTGTTTGACAAAATCCAATAGCCATCGTAATAAAAACCCTACAGACAATTGAAATAGATGGTCTTTATCTCAATCTGATAAAAGCCATCTATGAAAAACAACATTCAATAGCATACTAAAAGGTCAAAAACTGAAATCCTTCACACTAAAATCAGGAACAAGACAAGGATGTCCACAATCACTACTTCTGTTCAACATAGTTCTAGAAACATTAGCCACAGCAATTAGAGAAGAGAAAGAAATAAAAGCAAAAAAGACAGGAAAGGAAAAAGTTACTCACTATTTGCAGAAGACATGATACTCTGTATGGAAGACCCCAAGAACTCCACCAAAAGTCTTCCAGACTTAATAACCAAATTCAATAGAGTAGTTGGTCAACACATAAAAATCAATAGCCTTCCTATACATGAACAACAGACTCACTCTGAGAGGAACTGGAAAAACAACTCCTTTCACAATGGCATACAAAAAAATGAAATACCTAGGAATCACTCTCACAAAAGAAATCAAAGACCCCTGCTCTGTAAACAACAGCACTCTGAAAAAATAGATCAAATAGGATATCAGAAAATGGGAAGACATCCTTTGCTTCTGGGTAGGAAGAATCAATATAGTCAAAATGGCCATATTTCCAAAAATGCTACACAGATTTAATGCAATCCCAATTGAAATTCCAGCAGCATATGTCACAGATCTTGAAAACAATCCAAAAATTCATTTGGAACAAGAGACCTAGAATAGCAAAAGCAAATTCTAAGCAATAAAGACAAGGTAGGGGGTATGGCAATCCCCAACTTGAAACTATACTACAAAGCTACTGTGATAAAAACAGCATGGTACTGGCAAAGAAGCAGAAGGGAGGACCAATGGA